TGATTTTTAAAATGAAGATACTCATAATGCTAAAGAAAGGACATCTACACTTCCGCATGAAAATAACATATCTCCAATCTAAGTGAGGCTATCCTGAAGGAAAAATATTAAAACTTAGATGAAGTTATTATATTTTAAATTATAAATTGCATTTTCACATAAATGGTAACTTATCTGGAGTTACATTTTGAAATCATGAAGTATAAAACATATCCTTGTGAGCCAGTGAGTAGGGTAATAATTTAACAGAGCTCCACTGAACGTCAGCAATGGCTTAACAAAGCAAGCTTTCAGGGCACTTCAGGACGGCCACACTGCCCCTATTCCACTACTCTGAGTAACCCAACAGCTTTGGAAAACACTCCTGTATAATGTGTTCACAGGGGAAAAAAGTAAAATACAAGCACAAAGTAGTTGAAGTCACCTGAAAAGACACCACATTCTCCGTTCAGTCTGACTTACTGTCACAGTTACAAGAGACTAAAAATTCTCAATGACAAATGTACTAATTATTTCATTCAAAGAACAAAGCCAAAGTTCATCACCAAGATCCTTGAACAAATTCTAGAATATAAATAAATCTAAAGAAAAATGCATCCCCTTCCCATCTGGCCAAAGTAAAGATATTTTGCTTTGACTACATAAACGGTATCTACACCAAAGTATATATTGAGTTAGATTCAAGTGTTATATTTCAAAAACTGTACAAATCACTGGCAAGACCTAAAATGAAAACCAGGCCTCTGGCATGCCCAGAGCCAGCTGCTACTGTCTCAAAAGTGGCTCTTTCCAAGAGAGGAGCCATCTACATGTGTTAGAGCTTCAATGAGAATGTCATCTCCTAAGGCAGGGACCAGCACAGGCAAGCGAACATTTTAGACAGAGTAGTCAATTCCATCTGTGTAGAGCTACTCAACTCTGCCTGGGAGCACGAATGCCACCGCAGACAGTGTGCCAGCACATGAATGCGGCTGCAGCCAGTACAGCGTAAAGTTCATAAAGTTCTCACACGCCACGATGTATTACTTTCCTTCTGATCTTTTCCATCCACCCCAACATGGGAAGTCTCTTTGCTGGAAGGCACTACGAAAACAAATAGTCAGGCGTCATCTACGGATTCGGCCTATGGTGTGCAGTCTGTCCCTGGCTGAGGGGCAAACTGGTGGTCAGTCGCGCACGTATAGCACTATGCACATAACCTAAGAACAGCATGCTTTCCCTGTTAGACGCCCTTCTCTCTAAGTCACTGTCCCGGCTGCTACTTCTTCCCCATACTTAGCAGAGCAGTAATGAGGGCAGGAAGGGCATGGAGAAACAGAACCGCCTGGAGAAAGGGTGCAAGCACTCTTGGAGCTCCCCAGGGGCCTTGTGGGAGGTGTGGACCATCTCAAATCTCAGCTCTGGCCCTGTAATGGACTGCGGCACACGGGCACCTGAAGGAAAACTGAATGCACCATCGTTTATGAAGAGGAATTGGGAGAAAACATGAGCTGTAGAGAAGACCCACGAACAATGACTTGGAAACAAGGTCCTGGATGGACACGGTTGCAGTGCTCAGTCTTGGCAGCAAGGGTACCGGAGGGAGGAAAAAAAAACGCTGGGCCAAGTTAGTTGAAGTCCGGGAAAAGAACAGCTAGTAACCTCAATGGCTGCCTGCTACTTCTCATAATTCCTAAAGGAGACCTTAAACTAAACAAAATAAATGATGAATCTCTTTGTGGTGAAAGGGTTAGGCCTGCATTCTAAAGACTGTAAAAATGAGAAAAAATATATTTCAAATAATCTATAAGTCATTAAATCATAAACACAATCAAATATATTAAAAAGTTATAAAAGACAAGCAAAAACAAGACAGCAAGGGGAGGAATGTCCTCAGTGCAGACTGTCTAGGGGAAGTGCAGGAAAGACAGATGGAGAGACTGGGAGAAATACAGGGAATACAGACAGACAGACTAAGTGCAGAGGAGTTTCCCTTCTTCCCGCCCCACAGCCTCCCCAGGGACTCCTCTCCCCATCTCCACCCTGTAAATTGCTGGTTTCCATCAGCAGATAGGGACAAATCTTTTCTGTCTTCCTCGAATGCACCACAGCAAATTAAAGAGCTTGTAATGAACGTCGCTGAAAAATATCAGCCTTAACAGAAATGTCTGAAAGCATTTCCTTCCAGTTTGCTCTGGTCTTTGCCCAATTTAGTTCATAAAATAGTCGAGGTGCCTCTAATAGCACACGCCAGTCTGGATCCGTCTAGTATGCAAGAGGTAAAGACTTGGCAGGAACACCTCTCCTCCTCTCATCTACAAGGCATAGAGCACAGAACCAAGCATCCACATATGAACTTGACTGGAGAGCTCCACCAGGGAAAGCTCCAAGAAAGATAATTCGGACAAATGCGTCAAGGACAAATGAGTACAGATGATGGTTTTCACTGAAATCTTGTCCACATTCTCTCTGGGTCTGGAATGCAGAGGTGGCCAAAAGACACGCAGGGCCACACTCAGCAGACCTTTCAGTTGCTGTAACAAGTAGGACATTCCCAACTATTGAACACAAATCCCAAAGCCAGGAAGCATATTCCAAAAGCACATTCACTATAATAGTGGAAAATTGATAGAAAAATTTGCTTTTCAAAAAAAAAAAAAAAAAAAAAAAGAAAAACCACTGCCAGGCAATGGGTGACCTGTAGTCCTGGCTGCTCTAGAAGCTGATATGAGAGGATCACGGGAACCCAGGAACCCCCTCAAAAGTAAATGGAAGGGCAGAGGAGGAGCCACTATCCTTCCCATAACATTAGTTGTGTTGCTTCTAGGACAGCGATCTATCTTGCATTGGGATTCTCAAGTCTTTCGGAAAACCGACCTCTGGGTTTTTTGAAGAGTTCTTTTGTTCTCACATTCATTGCTGGGTGCTATGATGTCGAGTGGGTACAGGTCAAGGACACAGCTAAACTTACAATGCATAAGATAGCCACCAAGAACAAAAGGGTATGGCTCAAATTTTCCATAGAGCCAAGAAATGGTGAGTGAATGCATTCCTTCCGTGTGGGAGGGTGAGCACACACTCGTGGGTTTGCCTTGTATGAAGACAATCTCAGGAGTCCCTCCTCAGGTACCAGCCATGTTGTCTGAAACAGGGTCTCACATTAGCAGGCATCTTAGTCAAGCAGGCTACACTAGCTGGCCAGACAGTTCCAGGGATCTGCCTAGGTCTGTCTCAGATCTCATCGTCCATGGGATTAGAAGCATAGGTCACCATGCCCAGCTTTAAAGTGGACCCTGGGGAATCCAAACTCAGACCTCACACTTTCAGGCCAAGTACCTTACCAACCGAGCCATCTCCCCTACTCTGAACACATTTTTACTGACTAGCTCCAACACACTGACAAATAACGGGGATCAGAAGTGATCGGCACTCTGTTGAAGGCCTACTAAGCTAGAAAATTTAGAGCTTAAAGATTATTTCCAGATTTATGTAATGGTTTTCAGGGATAAACTAACCACCGCTGATCAATCTGACCAAATTACCGAACAATGTATCTCCTCCATTTCTTAGCTTATCACAAAGCACGAAAGAGCACCTACGTACGTATGTCACCAGACTGGCTACTGTTCTGCTTGGCTCCATTGGTACACACCAACATTTCTAACCTTTCATAATCGAGCTCTGTGCCTACCTACCAAAGAAACCAAGTCTCAGATGCCAACCCTGGATTTTATATGGAAAACATTCATATCTGAAATTCCCTTCCTCTGATGTTACACTCCATTAAGAACTTTAACATCTGATTCCGTGATATTTAAAATTTTGCAATGGGAAGGAATTGAGTTTTCTCTGCAAATTTAAAGGTAGCAGCGTGGCATGGATATCCTCTGTAAAAAGTGAGAGGTAGCAGCGTGGCATGGATATCCTCTGTAAAAAGTGAGAGGTAGCAGCATGGCATGGATATCCTCTGTAAAAAGTGAGTGGTGGCATCGGAGTGGCATAAAACACATCCACAAAAAAGTCCTGACGCCAAACTCTGAAATTAGCAAGTCTTCAAGGTTATTTTTATTTATCAATAAAAGCTTATTTGGGTGTCTTAACAAAGAAATTTTTCAAGGTAAGGTTTTACATTGTATGTCTCTATTTGCATTAGTTTGTGTAGTTTTTCGAGTGTTATGCAAAAAGAAAAACCTTCAATGCGTGATTAAATTTAGTTCGAATTTAGAATAATCATACAGGTTCAGATTTCCCTGTGACTGACAGAATAAAGAAATCCATTTCTGTAGCCAACAAAGCAAGTATTGTTCACAGACGCAGGGGCTGTTAAGAGCTTAAGTTTCATGAATTGCCGAAGAGGAAGACAAAACGATGGGCTACACAGCCCAGCTGGACTTGTGCCAAATGTCACCCTCTGAATTGGTATCCCGAGGTGGAAATGTTTGCTCGTGGGTTTAGGTTCCAGGAGAAAAGGATCTAACTAGTTATTCAAGAAGGCAGACTTATCGCATCCGCCCACTAACGCTACATCAGGTCATTTAAACCCAAGGCTCCGTTCCAGGGAGTTGAGCCCAGGGCCCAGAGGTGGAAACCGCCAAAGAACTCCCCTGCGCGATAAAGCGCAGCAAATTCTGCTTAGACAAATAGGCGGCGGGGCTCTCCTCTGGCTGAACCCAAAAAGTTTTGTTCACACGAACTTGCCTCCAACTACCAGTTATAGTTCAGCTTCCGAAACCGGCCAGGGCCAGGGCTCAGGGAAGCCTGACTCCGCGTCCCCAAGTGGACCAGAAGGAGTGGGTGGGCGCGCAGTGGGTCCCCAGCACGGTTTTGGGACAGAGGCAGGATGGCGGGTCCCCAGCACGGTTTAGGGACAGAGGCAGGATGGCGGGTGCTTCCCGGGGCGCTGGGGAGACTGTCACCGTCCATCAGAAAGCACGGAGCCCCCTGTCTTAGGTCCCAAAGCGGCAAGAGAAGGTGCCGGGTGCCCACGAGACCCGCCCGCGGAAGCGGCGTGCGGAGCTCACCTGCAGGGATGCGCGAGGGCGTCTCCTCCGCCACGCCCAGGCCCGCTGCCCACGAGAGCAGGGCAAGCACCCGCAGCAGGCGCCCCGGCCTCGCTCCGCGGCCCCCCATTCTCCCCTGCGCCCGGGAACCCGGGAGGCCTGCGGTGGCGACTTCTCGCGAGACGCGG